ATGGTATGGTATAGTATGGTATGGTATGGTATGGTATGTATGGAATGGCATGGTATGGTATTGTATTGTATGGTATGACATGGCATTTGATTATTTTTATGGTATGGAATGGAATGGCATGGCATGGCATGGCATGGCATGGCATGGCATGGTATGGTATGGTATGGTATGGCATTAGATTATTTTTATGGTATGGTATGGAATGGCATCCACAACAGATTCTTTGAAATAAATCCAATTGGATGGTTTGGACTTAAACACAAAAATGGCTTTGACATTGAGATATAATTTGGTGTGGAAGTAGCTGAGAGCCATTCACATTAGATAGGCTAGTTGTTAACAGATTCATTGAATTTTCATAGTATTATGAATGAGACTGTACATATTAGTTTCAAGATTTGACCAAAATACTATGCTATTTTTCAATGTGAGAAGACCTTCAGTTAAAACTCTGAAATTAAGCTGGTGGGTGATCTGCATTCCTTCAAACACTACTGGGCATTTTTTTAATTTACTGATTGTTTCTTTATCACTCTGTTTATGTTCAGTAAAATGAAATGCATGGCTAATTGTGTCAATGGATGTCTGGGGCCTTGTACAAAGATGTGCATGGGTTTCTTGCTGAAACGTGGCATACAGTCAAATCCAGAAAACGGCGTATGCACAAAACATCCAGATGTATCAAACCGTGGGTACGCCTGAATCCATGCACATTTCTTTGGTACATCCCAATAAACATGGAACTGAGCACACGTGAGATACCTCCCCTGAGACTCTTTCATTAACATATGTTAAACCGATGCAAATTACTTCCTGCATGTGTGAAGGACATGTTTTAGTGATCAGAAATTATTTCTAGATTCAGGAAAAATAATGAATTAAATATAATGTGAGTGAGAAAAAAATCCTAAGTAAGAATAAGAGTGAAAGTTGTTTGTCATGCAAAGAAAGAGTGGTTGTGTTTTAGTGATTAGACATTATTTCTAGATTCAGGAAATAATGAATTAAATATAATGTGAGTGAGAAAAAAAAATCCTAAGTAAGAATAAGAGTGAAATATGTTTGTCAAGCAAAGAACGAGTGATTTTGTGTGTGTGTGTGTGTGTGTGTGTGCGCGTTTGTGTGTGCGCGCACGCGCGTGCAAAGCTGCTGTGGTGCGCAACCGGCGTATCCATTATGAGACTGGAAATATTAAATTTACGCACGAGTTTATTACCATAWTTACTGCAAACACAGAGGAACTTAGATGTTTGGTAAAACATAGGTCTTTATTTATTCAATAGTTGATGTGAAGAAACAGTCTCTGTGGAGAGTTTTTGTGACGTGATGAGATGTTGGAGAGTTAGAATCAGATGGATGAGACTGTTCCGTTGGGCACGACTCGGCTTTGGGTGGACTGGACTGGCACAGTCCTGATCGGTCTGCCAGCTCCCTCTGGAAAGCCCCTATGGAACCAACCCCGGTTCGATCGCTGCTGCTACATGTGTATGCGCACCGGATCCTCGCTGTGTCGCACTCCCGAGCGCACGTCAGTGCCAAACAGAAAAAGGATTTTTCCTCTAAATGGCTAATGAGCCAGTCATCATCGTGGATCAGAAAATTCTATCTGCTCATAAATAAATGCTCTGCGTGTTACACTATTTATTGTACCCTCCAGTAAGCCTGAATCAGTTCCTGGTAAATGTATTTTTGACACAACTTTGCACGTCTTTTATCTAACTGCGTCCATGTGGATGTAATTGTTAATCATGTGTGTCTGGTGTGAACAATAATCATTTTCAC